ACTCATCATGCAAGACATGCTGAGGCCGGATCATGCGCCAGCGCAGAGAAGTTCAGTGAAGCGACAGTCGAGTCAGCCAGTTTCTAACAACGAGTTCGAGTAAAACACTCTATTGCCTGCATCAAGCAGTCGTAGATGGATCCTTCTTGCGCGCAATCATTATCAGACGCAGCCTGGGTGCTGACTCGGAGATTTTCAGGGTCGAGATGTAGGATGGGCCCCTTCAGTCCGTGATCCGCCCGTTCAGCGCACAGCGCTCATCGGCGGTGCTCGACCACAAAGACATTTGCATGAGCCACTCTCCGCGGCAGTGTGCCGTACAAAAATCCCCGCCATTCGATAGGGGCAAAAGTAAACTTGCCCAAACTTGGAAGCCGTGTTGATGCAGGTCGGGACGATATAAAATGCGGCGCCCGCCTTGTCCTCCTTCGTTCCACACCACATCGACCCTCCCGTTTCGCACTGTTGATATTGCCTTCAAACCTCGCCTTCACATTTTGAAAAGCGCGTCGTATCGCTCAGACCGCCCAGACAATAAGGCCACATCGCTTGTCTGTCCTACCACCTACGCCTTCGCCACTCGCACGATAATCACGTACAAGTGAATACAGCTCCCAAAGAGCAACCTTGCCGTGCTCACAACATCGACGCGTCGCGTGCAACCAGCCGCCCCGCAACCAGACCACAATGCTCCCGAACAATACCCGCGCCACATCCCCCGTCTTACCGGCCACAACGTCCAGACTGGCGTCAATTGCGTGGCTCGATCACTGGCTCGAAACAACCAACGGCCCCGCATCCGATGCTCCTCCCGGGCTCCGTGGCATCGCGCAGCGGGACCGCGTCGACATGAGCGACCTACACGCTGAGAGAGAAGAGAAGCGGGACCTACTGGATGCCGAGCTGTTCGACTCCGCGAGCGACCACGATGGTTACGCTACCGAGTCCGACGTCGAGGAAAATGGCCAGTCCAGCGACGACGAGAGTGGCTACGACGGCGACGGTGACAGCGACGGCGCGCATGGTCAGCTTCTGCCCGTTTGCAGACGCGTCTCGTCGCCACTCGAGCACCGCGAATATCGCGTCGTGAGCCCTCCGCCAACTTTCCTGCAGAACCGAGGTGAGCTCCGCTTATCTGCTGTTCAATTTAGATAAATACTGACGGCCCTTGCTTAGCCCTAGCTCGCTCAAGTCTTGGGCAGCCGTCGCATGTCCTCGAACACAGCGGCCAAGTATCCAGAGACTACGACATTCGACGAGGGACTCGTACAGCGGTATTCACCGTTGGCCAGTTCGCATCGAACAGACTAACAACGAACACAGCCGGACAAGGCGCCGCCTTGTCTCGCAACAACCACCTCCAATACGATGCACCTTCGGGCCGCGCCGACCGCGTCTCAACCCCACTCGCCACAAGCAGCTACCGGAACGCACCTGTGACCGAGAACCAGAGGGGAAAGAAGAGAGCACGGGAGGTCGAAGAAATCAAGGAAGAGGAAGTCGATGAAAAGCCCCGGAAGAGGCACGCTGCGGACAAGGAGAATGTTGCCGCCGGACCCAGTGAGTACGACGACGACGACCATGACCATGAGAGTCGCAGGCCTCAGCGCAGCACAGTCCGCCCGTCCTTCTGCCACCCGTCTCGCTATGTGGAGAACCGCGACCGACTTCGCGTGGCAGGTGCTGCCAATATGTCGGCAGCCGCGCCTGCCACGCCTGTTGCTCCGCCTGCCTCTATGCCAGCCGCGCCGGTCGCTGCGCCGATTCCCGCGGTCGCCGTACCAGCCGCGCAACCGGTTCAAGGTGCCTTCATCGTCATACCGCCTGCGCCTGTTTACCTCCCGCCAATCTTCCAGGTACTCGCTGACCTCCCTAACCCACCGTACAATATCGTGCTGCCTCCTATCATCGCACACCAGCCTCCGGTCATCGCAAACCAGCCGGCGACAATGCAGAACCCCAGGATGCGGCTGGGCTTCATTATGATGTAGCGGCGCGCTGTCTCCTATCCATATACGCAGGCGTGGGTTTGAAATGGTCGTGAACATGTAAAGTA